GGTGACCCTCCATCTTCAGATGATGATGATGATGAGGAAGAAGAGGAGGATGAGGATGGGGCGGTGTCGACATCGGACTCGGACGACGCCATATACAGCGACAAAGTGGAGCCGGAGTTTGATGTGATGAAATCGAGCCTCCGGGCATCGTATATGGGATCCAGCAGCGCCTTGAAGCCTAAGGCGGCCGAGGAGAACAAGGAGAAGAATGTCGAAATTGAGCTTCCTGGTCGCGAGAAGGTTGGGCTAATGAGCGGAAATGGAGGGCGAGGGGGCCAAGAGACATTCCGAGAAGCTGAAGCCAAGGGATCGGTTTCCCGAGAGGTTGAGGTGAAGGGGAGTGAGGGGCCGAGGTTTAGAGACTTAGGTGGGATGGAGAAGGTGATTGAGGAGCTGAAGATGGAGGTGATTGTGCCGCTTCGCCATCCAGAGCTCCCGCGGTGGCTCGGAGTTAGGCCAATGTCTGGGATTCTGTTGTATGGCCCGCCCGGCTGTGGCAAGACCAAATTGGCTCATGCCATTGCCAATGAAACCGGCATTCCCTTTTATAAGATTTCTGCCACCGAAGTCGTCTCTGGTGTCTCAGGTATTACGATCACTCACTTCATAGTTTCAATGACTGAAATTTTCAAGCTGAAAAACCTTGTACTGTTAGGGTTCTTATGTTCTTGAAATTCCTTTTGTAAAATTGTAATATGTTGCCATGGCCATCATTAATTTTAGGTGCATCCGAAGAAAATATACGAGAGCTTTTTTCTAAAGCTTACAGAACTGCCCCTTCTATTGTATTTATTGATGAAATTGATGCAATTGCTTCGAAAAGAGAGAGTTTGCAGCGTGAGATGGAGAGGCGAATTGTCACACAACTAATGACTTGCATGGATGAATCTCATAGGCTTGTACAATCAGCTGATGCAGATTCTAACTCACAAAGTTCAGATAACAAGTCTGGCTATGTTCTTGTAATTGGAGCGACCAATAGGCCTGATGCTGTTGACAGTGCTCTAAGGAGGCCTGGTCGATTTGACCGTGAGATTGTTTTAGGCGTTCCAGATGAAAATGCTAGGGTTAAGATTCTTTCTGTGCTTACACGCAATCTAAAACTTGAAGGTTCTTTTGATCTTCTTAAAATAGCCAGGTCTACACCAGGGTTTGTTGGGGCCGATTTGAAAGCCTTGGCTGACAGAGCTGGTAACATTGCCATGAAAAGGATTATACACAAGAGGAAGAATGATATGTCTGTAGATACTATGGATGAAGAAGGCAATGAAGAGTGGTGGATGCAACCATGGTTGCCTGAAGAAATGGAAAAGCTCACGATCACTATGGCTGATTTTGAGGTGTTCCGAAATTAACTACCTATACATTTTCTCCCACATATTTTGCCTTACATAGTTGCCTATGAGTTAATAACCAGTTATTCTGATTTGTGCATTAAATTCTCGTGGTAATGGTCTTAGCATGTGCATTTCTGCAGGAAGCAGTTGAAGTGGTTCAGCCGTCGTCAAAAAGAGAAGGATTCTCTGCAATTCCTAATGTAAAATGGGAAGATGTTGGTGGATTAGATCTTTTAAGGAAGGAGTTTGATCGCTATATTGTTAGACGTGTTAAATATCCTGAGAACTATGAGGTAATTGTTATTTTCATTTTCTATTGTTTTATCTAATTTTGTTAATCTCTGTGTATGTGTTTCTAGATTAAGATTTTGTTTTCTTTTTTATTCAAGTTTGTGTATCCTCGGAATGGCTGGTATGTTGTGTGCTTGTAAAAGAGATATATTTTTGTTAAAAAATGTGCCTTGGAATGGCATGATATGATCTAAAAAGATCTTGAACATAATCACTGTTGATCAACACAAATCTTCTTTACCCATTTCTGCCACTTTTAAATTTTAATAATGATGCTTAACTCTCCACACTTCATAGCTCATTGTTATGGTGCATACTTAGGTAGAAAAATTATTTTCATCTCTATATGGTAGTTTTAACCCCATATTTCATTTTGAAATTATGTTCTGCGGCAATTATGGGTAGTGAAAAACGATAATTAACAGGATAACGTCACATTCCTTAGCCAATACCATTCACTTTTGCAAGTAAAAAGAGCCTAACATGTCACCTTAAACATATCTCTTTTGGTGAAATAGTTTGCTTGGGTGGGGGTTCTGATGGGTCTTTTATTGAGAACTTACTAATCTACGTACAAGAATAGTATGCCAAACAATATCATGAGTTATTTTTTACTTTATCGAAAAAGTTGCACGCTTTGTTACAACATGAATATCACCAAAAAGAACTATCATGGAAATTTCATGTAATACTTGCTGGAAAACATTGTGAACTTTTAGAAACTTAAATCTAAACATTACCATCATTGGAGACTTATTAATTTATTGCGGTGCATGCTATACATGAATATTTACAGTATTCTATGGTATCATAGTGTTGGGTCAATGCTTCATACTGTTTTTCTGTATGTATTTTACCTTAGTCTATTTAATTGTTTTATTTAAGTCTGCAATCAAGTGGCTAATTATGTTTTTGAAATGATTTGTGGTTTCAGGAATTTGGAGTAGATTTAGAGACGGGATTTTTGCTCTATGGGCCTCCTGGATGTGGTAAAACACTGATAGCAAAGGCTGTCGCTAATGAAGCAGGAGCAAATTTCATTCACATTAAGGTCAGTCGTTGCTTTTCCCATTGAATGTTATTGATGTTTTGTCTTGTTAATGTAGGTCGCTGTAACAATGAACATTTCAATGTATGTTTTTGCATAATTTGAGAGGATCCATTTGGTTGACATGGCTTTTTTAACTGGTTAGGGCCCCGAACTTTTGAATAAATATGTTGGAGAAAGTGAGTTGGCAGTTCGGACATTGTTTAGTCGGGCAAGGACATGCTCACCATGCATACTTTTCTTTGATGAGGTTTGTGGTTCTCTTCCTGTTAAATGTTATTAATACTATCGGCTTCCATAGGTTTGGATCATTTCATCTGAACATTTAATCATATAAAGGAATAGATTACGGAATTATTATGATGAAGTTGGATTGAATTATTGTAGTGTCATTAACAACAGTTGGTCCTACATGGTGCTAAACCTCATTTCAGATCACCATAACAAAATTTTTTGAGAAAGCTAAACTTTTAAAGCATTTTCTTTCACTTGTTGACAGTATTGATGTCTAATTTCTCAATTGATTTAGCACTCTTTCTTATATAAAACACTGAATTCCTTTTTAAGTATCCAAATGACTGTTTGAAACTAGGTGACATAGGTTTCATGTCCTCTGGTATCCTGACATGGAGAAAATTTCATGGAAAATGTGTCCTACTTTTCGTAGCCTTTTAAAGCTGTTTCCTCACTTATTGACAGGTTGATGCTTTAACAACAAAGCGGGGGAAAGAAGGCGGATGGGTTATTGAGCGGCTGCTGAATCAGGTAAATTAATTGCAAAGGCAGTCAAGAACTGACTGCCTAGAAAGTAGAAACTTATTCGTTTTTTATTCATTTATAGAATGAACTGACTGTCTGCAACTGCAGCTACTTATAGAGTTAGATGGCGCAGAGCAGCGACGAGGTGTATTTGTTATTGGTGCCACTAATAGGTAAAGCTCTTTGTTCATTCTTCAGTTTTAGTTGATATAAAGGAAAATCATTCTGCACCTCTTACATGTCATACCTTTTGTCAGACCCGACGTAATGGACCGTGCTGTTCTGCGGCCTGGTAGGTTCGGTAAACTTATTTACGTCGCCCCACCCACAAAAGATGAGCGTGGTTTGATCTTAAAAGCACTTGCGAGGAAGAAGCCTATTGATGCCAGTGTAGATCTGAGTGAGATTGGACAAAGGGAAACGTGTGAAAATTTTAGTGGAGCTGATCTTGCTGCACTGGTTTGTCTATGCTTAAATATGCATTCTATTTTTTTCTTTGTTTGTGACGTTAAGGTTAATATTTCATTTGGAGTCGAGTTTTTGTGACCTCTCTTGGATTGGTGGGGAAGAAAAAAGGGGGAGGAGATGTGATTTGGATTGTCTCTCACATATTGATTGATGCAGATGAATGAGGCTGCTATGGCTGCTCTTGAAGAGAAATTGACATTACCTGAGAGGATTTCAGATGCATCTCCATGGACGATAAAAGAATCTCACTTTGAGCAAGCACTGGCTAAGATCGCAGCGTCTGTAACTGACCAGGTGTGGGTGATGTTTTGATTTTCATATGCCTAATGCCTCTCGACGAACAATTCCTTCTCTTTTCTATTTCCTTTTTCCGTACCATGATTTTTGAAGTTTCGTTTTCCATTACTGTGTACACAGCAAATGCAATACTACCAGAGATTTGGTGAGAGCCTCAAAGCACCAAGAAACAAAACGTAAGCCACAAAAATGTTCTTAGAGAGAATGTGCGAGAAGAAGCAAATTTTGACGGGGATTATTAAAAATTTCTGAAGACGAGGGTTGGGTATTTATATTATTTGCCCATTTTCTTGTATTTATTCGTAGAATGTAAATTAGAATCGTGGCAACAGTTAAGAGAATGTTTGAGAACAAAGCAAATTTTGATAGGGATTATTTATAGGTAGATTGTTGCTATTATTTTCGGGGATTGTTATTGTTACCCCAAGATTTCATTTGTTTACTCTAAGCCTTCTATATTTAAAAAGAAATATGCTTATGAGGAGCGTATAGTTAGATTTTTGGAGAGCGATTAATAGTTACTTGATCTTATATAGGCTCAGATAGTATTGCTAATGAAAAGAAGTTTAAGAATGTGCTGTTCAAATTGCCCGTAGTTAATGACATTTTCGGATACTGTAAGGGGATCGCTTTTGGAAAGGAGATACGAGAAAAACTTTCAGAGGCTTAAAGTTATGCGAGGGGGCTATGGTTTGGTACACGCGGGGAGGTGCCAGATGTAGTGGTCGTGCAGCCGGGTGTAGGTGGACGGTGGCCCGTGGCCGATGTCAGTGAGTATGAGCCGGATTGGGCGAATAAAGTGTTTCATACGATGTAAACGTTTTTATTCGAATCTAATAAAATCTTAAAATACAATGATAAAGAATCAACAAGTAAAAAGAAAGAAATGTACAAACATACAAGAAATGTGAGAGACATGATCAACAAGGGATCTGGTCAATAAACCATGTAATAATTTTGACAGGAAGCTTGATAAGAGAAACTGCAAGATTCGCTAATCCACTAAAACAAATGCAGCACGGGCACAAGCAACTCAACACCGTCCTGCAAAATTAAGATTAATCATCAAACAAAATTTATAAATCTCATATATATATATATATATATATATATATAAAGTTAGCAGAGCGTGCACATTGTCTGTGTAAAGTTTCTTTGTTGAAGGAAGGGCAAAAACAACAAAATAGGAATCACCCGTAAATGAATTACTACTCACCCGAAAACCCAGATGATAGCACCGAGAACAGACAAGACCAATGCGATCAAAGCAAAAGGCAAACCCAGCAAGAAACCCAATGGCCTGCAATCTCCCATGATTTTGATCGATATAAATATGATCTCTGACGTACTACGCAGCCAAAACAACGCAAATCCAGAAACTATCTCAAACCAAAACCAGATTTTTATTTTCTGACTGATTATTGTTTGAGGCACTTGGAGAGAAAATTGTTCCTAATCACGTCTTCCGTAAGACACCTGGAGACTTCCTATATATATATGCAGAGATGAATTTTCTGGGAATGTTGGTAGAAAGAGAAGATGAGAACGTTGAAGTTGTCTATCAACAAAGAAAGCCAGACTTGTGAACTAATTCAAAGTAAACAAGAAAAACCTACCAAACCTACTGGGACACGGTATCATGCAACTGCCGCCGTTCCCGTGGAGGTTTTTATTCAAGTGATTGGACAAAGTTACCCTTTGCCAAAAGTTCTGTTTCAGTCTTGGTACGTGTTATTGTTGGGGATATTTCAGGATATTCGCTCTCAAGAAGGTTCTACTAGGTTTCTTTGTTGTTAAAAAAGTCAGAACGCGACTGCCGTCTCAAGACGTGCGCAACCTCTTGGACGCGTTTCAAGATGCGCAACCTAGTTCTTGAACGAGGAAATTGAAAAAGATTTCAATTTATAAGCAATTATTAGGTATGGTCTAATAAGTAGCATTAGGATCGCTAATTTCTTGTTCACAATAGTTTAATTTTATTATTTAACTTCTTAGTGGAATATAGTGTAAGATGTGAGTGTCAAAAAGAATGAGTTCTTGTTCTTGACAAACTGATAGCTCAGTGTATGAGTTATCATGTTGAGGAAATTCCGATCCTACTTGGTTAGATTAAGAGTCCTAATAACATGCAATTATATTCAAGTAACCTTATTAAGACTTGACAAGAGTTCAATACCTATGAGGACTGTATCGAAACCCTAATCAATTTGGAATATCCAAGGTATTAGTTAATAGGCCTGATATCAAGGGAGTATGGATATATGTATATAGGGAGGTCCCTGCACTCATATTATTATCCTATCTCGTGCTAAAATCCTATTATGAAACCCTAGCAGTCATGGCTTCTTCTTCTTCCTCCACTTCGGAAGATAAGGTTATATCATATGGCGCTTAGCTGCCCTTTTTTTTGTCGTTCCAAAGCATATGATGCTGCTAAGTTAAATACCTCAACTAAGATTTGTTTTGGGTTTATGGTGCTATCTCTGCAGGGTGGATGATGTTGGCAATCCTCGCTTGAAGGTTGCTCATGCGACTGTTTCATTGTAGTTGACAATCTTGGTTTTCTTGGTCTGAAGTGCTGAATGTACCCCTGATAGCCTCGTTTGAGTTCTTGACCACATGGTGATCAGACAATTCTTGATAACTTGATAGGCTGAGTATTCCTTCATGAAAACGAAGACGAGTTGTTTGAAACTGTCGATAGACCGTGTGGCCATAGTATGGAACCAATCCTGAACTACTCCCTGCAAAGTCATGGTGCATCAAAGGTATGTCTAGCTTGTGAAGTATCATGACACTTCGTTAGAGCTTCAGGTGCCGGTCTGGGTCCAAATATCCATTAAACAACATGAGAACCTCTGGGGAGGTCGTCTCTGCTCGATCTCGTTTATGAATGGTGAAACATTCATGACAGTCGCTTACATGCGTAGTGTGTTCTCCAAGTTTCCTTTTGTTTTGAAGTCTCTAAGTTGCTCATGGAGCAACCGTTGTAATTCTCCAAAATGGATGGGTTGCCTTCCTGCCTGCAGCTTCGATGCTCTGCAATTCTTGGGTGGTCTGCGCTCTGCTTCCTCCAACTGTTGGACTAGAGAAATGGTGAAGCCTGCTTCTAACGAACAACTGTGCTGCGTATCTTCCTCATGGATGGTGCGTCGACCTGATTCTTCAAGCACGCCCTTAAAATCAAGGTTGGAGTGAACGATTACGCGTGAACCCTATTCACTACGAACACTTTCCTGAAGACGTAGCTGAGTGTGAGCACTTGCCCTGAACCCAAGGCTAGAATGCACTTCGTACAGGGGCCTAGCCTGGATTGAACACCTCGATATGCGATATCCTTCCGTGTCTGGTGGATGATGCCAAGCTCATTCCTTTGTTGTTGATGGATAAGAATTGCAATACATATGACTACTTTTCCTAGTTGTCTATGAATAGTGACTCCTGCTCAAAATCTCTTCCATATGTCAAGCCAACATCATGATCTCTAACGAGATTAGCATGAGTGAGAAGTTGAGTGATCATCATCGTCTGTTGATTGAGGGCCATGGTGAGGCCTACAACCAACTGAGTTAGTGGTTGCAGTGTAGTACAAGCCTGTCAAACCGGCGATGGTTGTTCGATAGGAAACAAAATAACCTGCTGGGGCGCGCCTACGACGAATTTTTGCATGGTGTTGTGGCACCGCGACCACGGTGGTGCCGCACAATGGTAGCAACTGTGTCGCGATTTGGGGCCTTGATGAAGTCGTGGCAATCCCGACTCGCAGCCAAAGTGGCCCCAATCCTCAAATAAAAGGTGTGGTGGGAAGGTTGCAGAGCATACTAGGCAACCCTCAATGATAGTATCCACAGTCCTACCAGTTAGTAGTCCTGAATGTCCTGTTGGTAGGAGCCCTTATATGCCGGACACTTAAGAAGAGACTCTGAAGAGTCGACTTCTTGCCATTATTGGGTCGGGTGAAAGAGGGAGAAGGATGAGGCATCACAAACGAGAGAGATGAGGCATCGCAGTTGGGTTGGTGAAGGTTGAAAATTAGCATTTTAGCCAAAAATGGTCTCTGAGATGACATAACTCCTCATTATAGTTCTGAGATTTGAAATTGATACAGATTCGTAATTCTGTCCACCACCAATCATTTTGATCATTCTATGGAAAATCTCTGTTAAATAAGAACCAAAATAACAAGGATACTCTCAATTTAATAAACAATGAGCCAGAATGATTTGATAAAAATTAAGTGTATTTTTGTTATTTTCTTTTTATTTAATGAAAATTTTTCACGTAATGATTAAAATGATTAACAATGGACAAAATCAAAGACCAGTTATATCACTTTTAAATTTCAGAGACCAAAATCAAGAGTCATCCAAATCTCAAAAATTATTTTAAGCTAAAAACCCGAAACTTGATGTTAAAATAGGGGTGGGCACGGTCCGGTTCTGCTTGGTTCCACCCTCAAAATGGGATCGGAACGGAAAATTTTCAACGGTTCGGTTTAGTGTGGTTTCACTTAAATTTATTATTAAAATCGTACGGTTCGGTTCATGACAGTTTCGGTTCGGTTCATACCGGTTTACGGTTCTAACCAAAATTATATATATGTTTTTTCTAATTTTCTACTTCTAATACCAAACACATATTTCAACCACAAATTCAAGTAAATTTGAGTTTCCACTACTAGATCTACAAGATTTGTGACGAGAAGATAGAAAGTGTGCATATAAATATAAATCAAAAGATAGAAAGGCTCATATCAAGATTAAAGTGTAGATCTTAAACTAAAACTAAAATGTACATAATGCATAATACATTGGAAAAGAATGGAGAAAACTAATATAGGGAGAGAAAAGTGATAAAACAACAAAGGAGGGGGAGAGAAGTAAAGAAAAATATTAGGTTTATGCACATGGTCTTCTTGGAAAAATGTTTTGCTTATATAAAAATAATAATAAAACAATAATTTAGATTAAAAGTGGTTCGGTCCGGTTCCTTCGGTACTTAATATTTCCAAACCGAAACTGAAATTGTTTGAAACGGTTCGGTTCGATTTTTGTTTCGGTTTTGACTTTTTTGGTCAACGCGATTTTTTACCGTTTTTTGTCACGGTTCGATTCGGTTTTCCAATTTTACGGTTTTGATGCTCATCCCTACTTAAAAGCGGAGGGCAAACTGGGAAGCTCAATGACAAAAATTTGTAGGCTGGGTAAACTCAAATTTAGGTGCAAATAAACGCGCAGCGAGTTAACAACAAAATTACGCGAAGACGTTTCGCTCTTATCCGTATTTGTCTTACCCCGCGGGCCAAACCCTGTCCGAAATTCGAATATACCTCCCCTCTTATTTCTCCACCGCCAAACCATCCTCCTGTAACCAACTCCAATCATTATCATCACATTATTACTCCTGAACCCCAAGAAATCTACTTTGATTTTAAATTTAATCTGCAAATTGAAATCTCAACAGTCTCCCCTCTTTCCCATTCGATTTTCCCCCACTTTCTCCCCTCTCCAAACACCTACGAAGTTCGAGCTTCGAGTGCAATGGAGATGGCTATGGAGGACGCCAGCTCTCACTCGCTTCTCTTCGTCGCTCGCTACGCGCTCCACTCTGACCGACGGACTCCGCGCTTCCTCAAGAATCCTATACAGAGTACGCCTCCATTATCTACTTTTAGAGTTTCCTCTGCTCATTTCTAGATTTTCCTACTTTTAGGGTTGTTATTGCCGTTTTCGGTTTCTCTGTTGCTCTATTTCTGCTGGAATTTAAAGAATTGGGAACGGAAGCTCTAGGGTTACAGTGAATTTTGGTGATTTTGTGTGTTTCGTTCGGGTGATTTTGAAAGTTCTATCATCTTTGTGATGAACGGAGTTTCGTATATGAATTCTAGGGTTTCTTGAAGCTTCTTGAGTAACTCTTGGGAAAGTTTGATTTTGAGTTATTGGGATTGAAAGAAGTTCCTGTAATTTGAGTTTTATCGAGTTTCATATGGTTGTTGAAAGCTCTCTGTCTATGGATGGATACGGGTGGATATATTCGAATTTGAGCTTGGATCTTGGGTGGTCTTGAAGGAGCTTTTGCAGTCGAAGTTGAACTTTGTTTTTTTCAAGGAAACTTTGATGGCGGGAAGGTGGGACGTTGGGTTTCCAAAGACTAGCGCTAGTAGTCTTAGAGAGCAAGCAACAAGAACAATTCTTCGCAATGTGAGGTCACAAGGGCACACATATGTCGAGCTACGAGAAGAGGGGAAAAAGTTCATTTTCTTCTGTACTTTGTGCCTTGCGCCATGTTACAGTGATAAGGTGTTATTTGATCACTTGAAGGGTAATCTTCACAATGACAGGTTAGCTGCTGCTAAGGTTACTCTCTTGCAATCGAACCCGTGGCCTTTTAACGATGGTGTGGTTTTCTTTCATAACTCAAATGAGACCGATAAGCAGTTGGTGATTCCAGATGGCAATAAATGTAAGATTTTGGAGTCTCATGACAATGAAAACAATCTTGCTGTTGTCAAATATGGGGAAAATTTGATATCTAATGGCAATGAGCATTTTGGTGCTGATGGTCATGAATGTAATGAGCATTCTGATGACACCTCTGTGGTGATCCCTAATATTCTGGTTAGGGATGAAATTACTGACATAGAAGTGAAGCAGGTAGGTTTTGGACAAATTGCTGCAAGGTTCCTCGAGAAGGATGAGATGTCAAATTTTATTAGTAGAATATGGTGTGAATGGTTGGGGACAAGGACAGCTAGCAATGATTTACCCAAGGTTCCTGAGAACGACTTTGCTGTTGTTACCTTCAGTTACAATATTGATTTGGGCAGAAAGGGGTTACTTGATGATGTAAGGATGCTTCTCTCATCCAGTCCTACAGAAGAAACAGAGAATGGTGAAGGCAGCAACGGTAAGAGAAAGAAGTTCTTCTCTGACCCCAAGGATATTAGTGAATCTCTAAGTAATCAGTTTGATTCGTGCGGGGAAGATTCATCTGCTTCCAGTGGTGCAACATCAAGATTGCTTTTAGACCGGTATGATGATCAGCTTCTGCACACAAGATTTATTAACAAGTCAATGAGGAGAGAGTTAAGACGGCAGCAGCGTTTAGCTTCGGGCAGAACGTGTGATATCTGTCAGCAGAAGATGCTTCCTAGGAAAGATGTAGCAACTCTCATAAATTTGAAGACAGGAAGGCTTGCTTGCAGTAGTCGAAATGTGAATGGGGTGAGCCCTAAATAACTTGCATCCTCTTCTTTCCTCTCCTCCACGCCCCCACCCATTGCTGTACCTCGATCCCTTTAAAATTGTAAACCTATGTATTCAATTCTGCAATAGAGTCTGTTTCTCTGTATCTTTTTTTTTTTTCCTCAAAGAAAGTAGTTAGCATCATTTTGATACTTGCGCATGCAGGCTTTTCATGTGTTTCATACTTCCTGCCTTTTACACTGGATACTTCTGTGTGAGGTTGAGATGATCACGAATCAGTCTGCTAGTTCAAAAGTGAGAAGAAGATCTAGGAGAAAAACTGCAGCCAAGTGCAATGGAAAAGATGGTCAGATGGTAGCTTTGAGCTCACAAATATATTCTGTATTCTGCCCAGAGTGTCAGGGCACTGGTATCCTCATAGATAAAGATGACCTGGAGAAACCAAATGTCCCTTTGTACCAGGTATTCCTGTTACACAACAGTTACGTGCTTGAATTTAACTTTATTAACTTTTGACAAGGCAAACTTATTATATTTTCCATACCTGTGATAGAGCATGCACATGATGATCAAAGATTAGAGAAGCTATGTAGAGATAAACCTTTTCAGAAAACTCGCTTTTGATATCTCAGATAGAGCTAGGCAGGGAAAAGACCTTATCAGTTTGCTTCTCTAATCTGTAGATTTTTTATCTATGTCACAGCTGTTTAAGTATAAGATAAAGGTGAGTGATGCACGTAGAGCATGGATGAAGAGTCCTGAAATGTTGGACAATTGCTCGACGGGTTTTCATTTCCCTTCCCAATCTGAAGAGGGAATCGAGGTTTCTGTAGGTTACTTCACGTGATTTCCTTTATAACTGAGGTTAAATAGAGTCATAGCAAATTCAAGTTTTAGCTTTTTGATTTGTTTGTGCCAGGAAAAGGTGAAACCGTTGAAGTTGCTGCATTTCTACAGAGCAGATTGAATAGAGTTGCTGTCTGGGAACCATGCAGCTGTTTGTTGTGATTGGCCTCGCGATTCTCATGAGTAGGACTTGGGAGCGGACACACAGACGTAGGTGGTGGTATGCGGGCTGTTAGCTTTTGTGGATAATTTGGATTAGCTTGCTTAATAAGATATGTTGTACATACCTGTTGCTAACACAGGTACATAAATGTTGCATCTGTTGTATACATTGTGACGCGTAGGGAATTATATGTATCTATATTTCTGTGGTAAGTAGATTTTGTCACGTGTTTGAGGCCAAAGATGCGGCTTCTTGTTTGACAGATACGAATAAACAGTTTCTATCATCGTAAATAATGTAACAATAATCACAGCAGTCATAAAAACTCGCCCATTCAAATGGATTTTCATACTTCTTAACCAAAATTTACCGGTTTAGTTATGATTTCAGTGGTTCAAAAGCTGAAGCGAACTGAATTGTTTTAAGACATTGTTTCACTAGTTTTAATTTAACCCTAATACACCCTTGCGTGATACTGTCGTCAGCGTCTCATACCTTGATGAACCAAATGAAATCGAACCCATTCCTAATTGTTCATAAATTGTACAGTATATGTCATTGGAAAGATTAGTTAAGGCCAGGGTAATATTGAGATTTAAATAGTTTCTTTTGTGTGCCACCACAACCTATCATCACAACCACCATCTCTACCACCTACTATCTCCATCACCACAACCATAATTGCGGCTACACCTACGACCATGTTCATTTTGTGATTAAATTTTAGCAAGTGCTTTTATACTGCTTTTCATACTCACACACTTTGAAAAATACAATTTATTAAATATTCGACTAATTTATTTTACAGCTAATTATTCTTAAAGCACTAACGACACCATTTTTTATTTTTCTAAATAAACATTAATCTCAAACTTACCTTGAGCAACATTGAGATAGTAGCGCCCATAAACATGAGAAAAATTTAAGTCAACAGCAAAATTTGAGAAGAACTTGTATAACATAAATTCAATCTCACATTTACATTTCGTACCAATAACAAAAAGCCCATATGAAAAAATAAGTTACCATATATTTTAATATTGTTAGTACGAAAGGTGACGTCGCGGTGTCTTGTGTGCAATGAACTGGCCCCTTCACAGACATGAAACATAAAAGTTGAGAAAGTCTGGGTTGGCATAGTACAGTTGCAAAACCCTAAACCCCTAAAATTCACAATTTCTCCCAAAACCCTCTACGAAATTAGGGTTCAATGATTAAGCTTCTTGGTTCAAATCCATGGCGTGGTAATGCCATTTCTGGGAGTTCCTCGTGCACTATTCTGCTCAATTGAGGCCACCGCCTCCTCTCCACCCCCGTTTGAGCCTTTGTACGTTAGGATTTCCCGGGCCAGAAATCCAAGGGTTTCCATTGTACCGATTCTCAATCAGTGGGTCGATGAAGGGAGAGATGTCAAGAAATGGGAGCTCCAGAGGTTCAGTCAAGCTGTTCCGTAAACATCGCCGCTACAGCCACGCTCTCCAGGTAAAAGAAAAGAAATGATTATAGTGGTTTCTTGTATAATTTTGTCATAGAAATTGCATTGAATGTGAAATGGAGTCAATGCTAGCATATAGATTTCAGTCACAGAATCCGGTGAGATTAAATTTTGAAGAAAATATTCGTTTAGAAAAGATTATGATGGAAAATAAATAACACAATTTATAAAATTTAAGAAGTCTGAGCTAATTTACATATATACTGCAGGTTGTTGACATGAAAATTGATTATGACATGAACTCTGATAATCCATAATCATTTTCGGAGAATTGTTAAATTGTTTTTAGCAAAAGATAACATTGTTTCAATGGACAAGCGGATATGATGACTGCAGGTATGTGTAGTATGCATTTTATTTCCTTATCAAATAAAGAGACATGCCATTTAACAAGAGGTTGAAGAAAAAGCGCCGTAAAAACAACTTTGTTCTGTTACATATGTTTTACACTGCTAGATGTGGATTGTTTTATCGTCTTTAGGGTGGTTGTCATTAGTATATTTTCAAGTGTACTTGGGTTGTATCTGATAGATGCTCTCTTTTTGTGATATTTACTTATTGTTGTGATATTTACTTATTGCATTAATATTTTAAAGACACTCTGTTTTCCCCTTATAACTTTCTACTGTCATCACTCTGCTAAGAATGATATAGCTACTAGAATGTACATGTTGCAACCTGTAAAGTTTCTCAAGACCACGCTTTTGAAAATGTAATAATACAAAGCACAAATTCATAATAGACGTAGGTCCTTTTGTGGATGCTAATGAATGCATGTGTGTTGATGACCGTGGTAAATGAGTCTGGTTATGTGCTTTTAATTTCTTAGGAAGTTTTTGCTTAAGCAATGGTCAACTGAAATCATTTCTATTTGATAGTATGTGTTCTGCATGTTTTTAAACAGATGGACCCTGAATTGTGACCAATAATATATTAAAAGATGAAACTGGAAGACCCTGAATTGTTAATTCTTTTAGATTTCAGAATGGATGAGTGATGCACAGAACCAGTATCTAACTCCGGGAGACATTGCGGTTCGGCTAGATTTGATCTCAAAAGTCTATAGCCTACAACAAGCTGAGGCGTACTTTAATAGCATCCCAGACCAACTGAGAAACTTCAAGGTGTATGGTGCTCTTTTATTCAGCTATGTAGAGAATAAATCTTCAGAAAAGGCTGAGACTATTTTCGAGAAGATGAACGAATTAGGTTATTTGAAAGGATCATTAGTTTATAATGCTATGCTTACCCTCTATTCTCAGATAGGTAAACATGAAAAGCTCGATATTCTGGTAAAGGAGATGGAAGAAAAGGGCATTGATTATGACAGTTATACATTGAAGATTCAATTGAATTCGTATGCAGCCATTTCTGAGATAGACAAGTTGGAGAAGGTTTTAATGAAGATAGAAGCCGATCCTTTGGTCAATGTAGACTGGGATGGTTATGTTATTGCAGCAAATGGTTTCTTGAAAGCTGGCTTATTAGAGAAGGCTTCAACAATGCTTAGGCGATCAGAGCAACTCATTGGCAATCAAACAAATCAATTGCATATGAAGTCTTCCTCACTTTATACACTGCTATTGGGAATAAAGATGAGGTTTATCGTATTTGGAATATATACAAAAATAAGGTGGGATTATACAATTCTGGCTATCTTTGTATACTAAGTTCATTATTAAAGCTGGGTGACATTGATAGTGCTGAGACGATTGTGGAGGAATGGGAATCTGTGGCCAAGTTTTTTGACATACGAATTCCCAACTTGCTGATCACTGCATACTGCAAGAAAGGTCTTTTGGAGAAAGCCCAATTATATATAAAGCGGCTTGAAGAGAGCGGTAAGGAGCTGGATGCAGTCGCATGGACTCGTTTGACAACCGGATATCATATGGATGGTCAGATGGGTAAGGCAGTGGATACGATGAAAAAAGCAATATTGGTAAGTCGACCTGGATGGAAGTTCAATCATCTAACCTTCGCTGCATGTCTTGAATACTTGAAAGAGAAGGGAGACGTGGAAGTAGCATAAGAGCTTTTGAGATTAATTAGAGAAAAGGATTATTTTTCAGCTGATATGTGTGATAAATTAGATAAGTATATTACTGGTGAACCTCCTAAGAGAGATGAGGAAGTATCAGAGGAACTTTCGAGATTATTGGAAGCGAGTGATCATCTTACATTCGATTCGTACGATAAAGTAGGAGATTACACATATGATGAATCTCAGGTTATGGCTTTGATAAAGTGAAAGAGGATAGTAATCTGGGAGGATTTGAGAAAATCAAATATTGTGGAAAGGGGTTGATAGCACCATTTTTCAATCTGTAGAAGGGTTTGTTTTGTTCCATAACCACCAAAAGGTGATCCATGCTATATTTTTTTTCAGCAGAACTGAAGGAAGGTTGGTTCTCTTTCGTGTTATCGTTGTATTTCAGGAGGATTGAGTACGTTTGTACAGATTTTCATTTAATCTGCGAAAATTTTAAATGAGTTGACAATTCAAGAACAATGCGAAAGAGGAAATGAACTGTGGATTGTTCTTTTCTTCATTGCTCGTTGGTCATGATCGGTTCCCAAAACATATAATCTTATGTGTGTTCTGTAATTAAAACTTATATAGAAGTTAAAATGGCATTCTGATAAATTATAGTAGCTTTTATTTACTGACTCAGAGAATGCAATACTGAATATCCTAATTCTTTCGCACGTTGTCATGTAGAAATCGCGTGATTGGTTGAGAACACCGTCATATTGGCATTCTAGTTGGAGAAATCTTTAGTGTTGGGAACACCGTCTGGTACACTAAGTGTTATTATACAAGTGGTTAGAATTTTTTTTTTAAAAAAAATATTCAACTGCTTGTATTATGACACTTGGTGTAACGATTATGTTCTCGTCATTTTGAAAAATCTCTCTAGTTCGACGTATGTTTCCATTGGAAAGGGATCTTCTCCGGATCCTTTCTTCCTAATCCATCAAGTCCAGGAATCCGGACCGTTGAAATGTGATCTAACGGTTACAAATAGGGGCTTACTTTAAAAATTATAATAATTTTAACCGTTTAATCAAATTTCAATAATCCGGATCTCTGAACTTAATAGATTAGAAGAAAAGGATCCGGAGAGGATTCCTTTCCATTTTAATTAACACAACCAGGTCCATGTAAGATGCGGCAAACAGAAACAAATGAGAAATATTACAAGTGTCATTATAGCATGGAGATCAAGGTCAGCAACATGGTTACCGAGTCAAAAAAGGTTGATGTCTTTATTGACATTTGAAGAAATGAGTGTCGACAACGTTGGCTAATAATCGTTTAATCAAAGCACTCACTCAAGTCATCTTCTCGAACTCAGTATTGTGATCTACATGTATTTACTTTTATTTGTTTGTGAGAGGTTTTGAGTTTAAATTTTATTTACGACGAGTTTAATATTAATTTATTATAATTAGGTAAGGAAAATGTTACTGGTACTTTAAAAATTTTATTTTACACTCTTCTCAAATGTATTTTTCTTTCTAAATACAGAAAGTTTGAAGTGTAGAATAAGAAATTTAGAGTGTTAATAACTAAATGAGTTTTAATAGGTACTAGTTAACAACCCAATAGATGGATTTGCCACCTTTATATGCAACCACCTACGTTTCTAAAACAATTTTCTTTTATGGTTGACATGTATTGATATGTCCAAATAATATATTCGTTGAGAAAAACATCAATATGTTATCGACACATTTTCAAAATTATTGAGGGACATAGGGACGTACTTTTTTGCATTGCTAATCTCTACTTAAAGACTCTTTATTTTTTCTTACAAACAAATCAAATATGCCATGTCAGCAATAATTTTCTTCTTATACTTTTAATAACTAGCTTTTATTTATATATATATATATTCATTTTAATTTGCAGGTAAAGATAAATAACGTCGTATATTAGCTCCGGAAAAAAATGCATTGTCCTTTCAACAACTTAGATTGAATTTTTTATTATTTTTATTTATTTATTTATTTTAATAAAAGCTTAGATTGAATTGAAGTCCATTCATTTGCTAGAAAACAAAATGATTGTCCTTCAAAGCTGGGCCTGCAATTAAATCTAGAGTCACCGAAAGAGGGATTATGTTGGAATTTGGTTGACGTGACCATGCAACAAATGTTCTTAATTCCCAAATTCCATCCCCAGTGGGACGGAAATAATGAATCACGTTTCATATCATGTGTGAAATAGGTTTATTTTTGCTCATAACATACTCTTATATTTAGGCACCTTTAAGTTTAAATTTATTCACATTTTCCACATCACTACACTTTATGGCTTCGTCACCCTTCAGATGTTGGCCAGCACAACTCAATTCGGAATCCAAATAAACATCTTGGGTCGGGGTGTGTCATTGAAGACTAAAAAAATTAATATAAGAGTTCAAGGACTAAAACTAGTCTACGGTATCAAGGATCATTCCTACGATTAAGCCAAGGGAAAAAACAGAGAGAAAAGAAAGGGAAGCTGGTGAATTCTGGGTCCTCTTGGTCTTTGATTTCGGCCTCTTAATCACTGACCAATTGCACTAGTGTGTTCTCATGGGGGTGCTGTACAGGAGGAGGATTCTCTTCTCTCTTAATCTCTCTTCTCTTTTTTTACTCCTACTTGAACAGTTACGATTAAATCACATCAATATTTTATATTAATTTTTTTATAAGAACAAAAAACAAAATGTGAAAAGAGGGAACAAAAAAACATAAGAGAAGAGAAAATCCTACTCCGCTTTATAGAGCTAGATTGAGTTAATTGTAAGTATTGGAGACTTAATATGGAGATCGAGGATACATTGAAGCAACTGGAGCTCTAATTCATGTTGAATGTTGGTTGAGTTGTCACTATAGTCTATACTTTTAATTAATTGAGGATTTAATAATATGTATGCATGCACAAGGTAATTTAATTGAAATTGTGTGTAAAAGCTATCATTGGATGTTTTGAACTTTTTCATGGTCAGTAATAAACCAGTAATTTATTTACAATTTTATTCACGCTTCGATATTAAACTTTCGGGTTATGACAACTGAGGCTTTTTATCATAAAACCACATACATAATAGTAAGTGATTAAGTTAGAGATAATATCGATAATGTCAACGGTAAACCGTGTTCAAGGCGGAGCTAAAAAGTATTTTATGGGTGGGCTAGCTAAAAAAGTACCCTAAAATCAATTTTTTTTTTTGGCTACATACGTATTGTATGCAAAAATTTAAGTTTAACTTATGTATTTGTATACTTAAAATTTACCTGACCAAAACTCAATAAGCTTGGCAATTGCAAACTAACAAAATTACAATGAATCAACAAATTTCACATATATTTAGATTTAAACACAAGAAGAAGATAGAAAACTTGATATCTCAATTATAACCACACAATTAGCACAAAGAAAAATACTGAAAGTAGAAGTAAGGACAATCTTAAAAAATTGGTTGAAACTAATATAAACCCTACTATATCAAAGCAAATTAATCTTGAATAAAATAACATCACAATTTTATTTCGTGGTAATTTGTATATTTTTAATTGTGCTAAACACTCACTGGGCTAGTTTCATTAAAAATAATTCTTCTTACACATTTTTTTGTCTATTATATAGACTACACACTGAAGTATATATACCTATTGCTACAAATCTTCACTGGACTACAGTCCACCGTAGCCTATAACGTGGCTACGCCATCTAAGAAGTTAGCCATCTCCCATGCAGAAGATAATAAGATAGGTGACATGTATTTCTCTGAAAACAAACGCATGTTTTGGGTGGATCCTTAGCTACTAGGCAGAGCTGAGCAAAGGAAAGGATAAGATCAATGACGTTTGTGATGTCCAAATATGTGGTTAAATCCAGAAATCTGTTAGGTTTTTTTGGTGTGATATTGCTCGGCAGCAACCTGCCCATTGCTCATCCGTGATATCCTTGCCGACAACCCAAGTGGCGGTGACCCTTTTGGCAGCATCCAAGGGTATTGCCCACAACCCAAGTGATGGTGATCCTTTTGCAGCATCCAAGGGTAGATTAGACATTACCAAAGTCGCCCATGGCTTTCTAAACAAGTTGATCACTTTTCCTAGAAGGTTGTCCGTCACCCACTTGTTCATCGACAAATTATTGTGTGTATCTGATTCATCACGTGAGATAATAATATATTTAGATTGTAACTTAGTTCCAAATCTTGGGTTCTTTAAGATTTTGTTTGCACACGTGCAATAATTTTTATAAAATTTAAGAATCACATCAATATGTTACGTGACGTATCGAATTCCCGAGATAATTAGTTATACCTTTAATATTAAGTTGCTACCCTACAAGGTCCACAACGAGATGTATGTTTTGTTTTGGGGTGGTAGCAAACGGGCGGGGCTATGTGTAACTTGAAAACTTAAAAGAGCTTGTAGGAAAGAAAATGACATGCCTTGTCGGATGGTTCGATATGGATAGGGATTAGAGTAAAGAGATTTTTTATGGTGCATTGGAGTATCAGATATTTTGAATTTTTCAAACATTTTGATTTTCGATAAAAAAATATAAAAATTAAGATCTAACGGTTAAAATTTGAAGCGTTCTGTTTGAAGTGTTCTATATTCCAAAACATCGTAGAATTTTTGTAGAGTTTGTTTGCTAACTAAATTAGACAATACAATACTCAATTTCAACACTTCCCTTGAACCATAATTATGGTAATAAACTAGCCAATCTAAGAAAACCTCACCATCTCAATTTGGTCACAGGTCTCATCAATCATGTCATTTGGATGAATGAACCACATCTGCATAACTTAGTCAAATATGTGGATAGATTAGACGAGCTACACATACAACTTGGTTATTAGTCTATCAAAGTAGCCTTACTCTCTAAAATATAGTTTACACTTCCTTTGGCGTATACTTAAGGAAATGAATAACCACTATTTGAGATCAAATGTTATCAACAATGTATGTTTCTTGGTGGAAACAATTAAGGAATGAAATGGGTAAAGAAAATGTTAAGAAGTGATGGATAAATGAGTCGAGTCAAGCCGGATATCATAATACTTAATTTTAACTAAAAGAAATCTCTGAAGCTCGAGTTAAAACTTGATTAACTAGAGTAGGTCAAGCTTGGCTAGAATGCATCTTTTCAAGTTCGAGCTTTTCTTGTATGTAGGATAAGACAATCTCACATATGGCTTAATTTGGACTGTACATGACCTGACATGTGGCAATACAGGATTTAAAGACGTTCTAGTAAAAGTTGGGTGGGATTAATTTTCTTCATTAGATGGTATCTAACCTAAAATGTATATTTAATCTAAACCCATTCTTTTAGATTTGGTACATCTCTTATCAATAGTTAATTTACTAAGATCATAGTGTTTAGAAATTTTTAATCAATTATATCTCAATTTTCATTTTTTGTTACAAGGGGCCGATTCACAAGGAAACTAACAAGAATTATACTTAACCATTTAAAATCTCAAATTAAATTAAATGATATGATCAGCTCGTGATGATATTACTATTAATTATGATATTGTTGATGAATTACTGATCAATTATATCTATCTCTTAATTCTTTAACATAATTTTCTGTCTTTTTTCTTTTATTTTTGTTGGATGTTCTGTCTTTTTCGTGCCTTGGCCTTAGGCCTGGTAGAATTGCAGCATCTCTGTCCGGAATTCGTTCTTTCCCGGAAGCTAGTCCCACTCAAGCAAGAACTAGCAACCCACTTTCCTCATGACGACAAAAGCAAAACCAACCAAAACTGCAGTCTAAATCATTCGAAATTGTACATCTGTAATGCATATATATATATATATATATATCTGTGTTAGCAGTAAAAAAGCTCAGTAATGCAATTTACATGCTATGTAAAAGTGGTAAGCATATCACCGACAAGCGTATAACGCACGCACGAGAAAATCTGCCTTGTAAGTAGATGTATACCCCTGAAACTATCTAAGTTTCTCCTAAAACGGGAGGCGAAGGAATAAAAAGAAACTATTTCAACCATTGACATAAAATTAGCAACACACTCATCTGGTTGAATCCGCACGTCTCTTTCTTATACTCATTTTTACAGGTACAATTAATCGGGCAAGGTAAGGGGAGGTAAAAATTTGTTCAGAACAAAAGAAGGCACAACATAAAGCAACAGAAGAGAAAAAAACATATTCTGCCGAGCGACTTATCAGCCTGCATTACATGCCTTCTAACCCTCGGACTACCCCTCCCCGCGAGATTATATGAATTCGACTAAGTATAAAAGTTTGCTAACGAGTTGCCAAAAACCCTTGCGTATACCATTTTACCAAACATTCCAACTCCTGGATTGATCGTGGTTGTGGCGACGCCCGGATTATTCATTGGGCCTTGTAGGGGACTGTTTAGTTGTGAACCGTATGGAGAACTCCGATAATGAAGTTGTGGAGTAACGTATGGACTGGTTGGGGTACCGGCTGATCGAGGTGTGTCAACCCCACAAGGACGAAAGGGTCTTCTCGGAATCACCATACCAAGATGAGGAGCCCTGCCTTTCGAGGGTTTCGGGGGGTTTTGTTGTTTGTCCCCCGCCATAAAGTGGGATTAGAGAGGACTCGGAGACTTCAGCTTTGCATACAGGGCACTGGTGCAGTTTCTGCTCATCTAGATTGAGTTGATTTTTTTACAAGGACAAAAAGATAAAAAGTAAAGTGTGAGAGAAGGGAAGGGAAGGAGATGACAATAGAAGGGGAGACAATTCTATTCCGTTCTAGAGAGCTAGATTGAGTTGATTGTAATTACTGGAGACTTAATTTGGAGATGGAGGATACACTGAAGCAACTGGAGCTCTAATTCATGTTGCATGTTGGTTGAGTTGTCACTATAATCTATACTTTTAAATTAATTGAGGATTTAATAAGATGTATTCATACACAAGGTAATTTAATAGAAATTGTGATGCTACAATGTAAAAGCTATGATTGGATGTTTTGAACTTTTTCATGAAGTCAGTAAGTAATTTACAATTTTAGTCACGTCTCAAGATTAAACTTTCTGGGTATGACAACTAAGGCCTTCTATGATAAAATCACACATCTAATAGTAAGTGATTAAGTTAGAGATAATACCAATGATGTTAATGGTGAACCGTGCTGGATCGAAGAAGTTTGCCATCCCCCATGCAGAAAGACCATAAGATAGGTGACATGTCTTTCTGTGAAAACAAACGCATGTTTTGGATGGATCCTTAGCTAGCTAGGCAGAGCTGAGCAAAGGAAAGGATAAGATCAATGACGTTTGTGATGTCCAAATATGTGGTTAAATCCAGAAATCTGTTAGGTTTTGGTTGTGATATTGCTTGGCAGCAACTTGGCTATTGCTCATCCATGATGTCCTTTGCCCACAACCCAAGTGGTGGTGACCCTTTTGGCTAGCATCCAGGGTCGATTAGTCATTACCAAAGTCGCCGATGGCTTTCTAAACGAGTTGACCACTTTTCCTAGAGGGTTCTACGCCACCTTACTTGTTCATCGACAAATTATTGCGTGTATCTAATTCACCGCATGAGATAATAATATCTTGATTGTAATTTAGTTCCTAAATCTTGAATTCCTTGAGATTTTGTTCGCACACATACTATAATTTTTATAAGATTTATGAATCACGTACTGTAATTTAGTTCTGAAACCCTATATTACGTGATGTATCGAATTCCCGAGATAATTAGTTATACCTTTCATATTAAGTTGCTACCCTACAAGGTCCACAACGAGATGCATGTTTTGTTTTGGGGTGGTAGCAAACGGGCGGGCATATGTGTAACTTGAAAACTTAAAAGAGGTTGTAGGAAAAAAAATGACATGCCTCGTCGGATGGTTCGATATGGATAGGGATTAGAGTAAAGAGATTTTTTATAGTGCATTGGAGTATCAAATATTTTGAATTTATTTTTTAAACATTTTGATTTTCGATCAAAAACATAAAAATTAAGATTTGACGAATAAAAATTTGAAGCATTCCGTTTGAAGTGTTTTTAGAGTGTCCGCTAAGTTAGACAATACAATACTCAATTTCAACACTTCCCTTGAAGCATAATTATGGTAATAAACTAGCTAATCTAAGAAAACCTCACCATCTCAATTTGGTCACAGTTCTCATCAGTCATGTCTTTTGGATGAATGAACCACATCTGCATAACTTAGTCAAATATGCGGATCCATAGTCTACACCTTTTAAGGTAATGAAAATAATAAATTAGACGAGTAGAGTTACACATACAACTTGGTTATTAGTCTATCAAAGTAGCCTTACTCTCTAAAATATAGTTTACACTTCCTTTGGCGTATACTTAAGGAAATGAATAACCACTATTTGTGATCAAATGTTATCAACAATGTATGTTTCTCGGTGGAAACAATTAAGGAATGAATTGGGTAAAGAAAATGTTAAGAAGTGAGGGATAAATGAGTCGAGTCAAGCCGGATGTCAGAATACTTAGCTTGAACTAAAAGAAATCTCTGAAGCTCGAGTTAAAACTTGATTAACTAGAGGAGGTCAAGCTTGGCTAGTATGCTTCTTTTCAAAATTGAGCTTTGCTTGTATGTAGGATAAGCTAATCTCACATTTGGCTTAATTTGGCCTATATACGACCTAACATGTGGCAATACAGGATTTAAAGACGTGCTAATAAAAGTTGAGTGGGATTAATTTTCTTCCTTAGATGGTATCTAACCTAAAATGTATATTTAATCTAAACCCATTCTTTTAGATTTGGTATATCTCATATCAATAGTTAATTTACTAAGATCATAGTGTTTAGAAATTTTTAATCAATTATATCTCAATTTTAATTTTTTGTTGCAAGGGGCCGATGCACAAGGAAACCAACAAGAATTATACTTAACCATTTTAAATCTCAAATTAAATTAAATGTTATGATCAGATCGTGATGATATTACTATTAATTATGATATTGTTGATGAATTATTGATCAATGATATCTATTTTAGTTATTCTATCTCTTAGTTCTTTAACATAATTTTCTGTCTTTTTCATGCCTTGGCCTTAGGCCTGGTAGAATTGCAGCATTTCTGTCCGGAATTCGTTCTTTCCCGGAAGCCAGTCCCACTCAAGCAAGAACTAGCATCCCACTTTCCTCACGACGACAAAAGCAAAACCAACCAAAACTGCAGTCTAATCATTCCAAATTGTACATCTGTAATGCATATATATATATATGTGTGTGTGTGTGTGTGTGTGTGTGTGTGTGTGTGTTAGGAGGAAAAAAGTTCAGTAATGCAATTTACACACTAAGTAAAACTGGTAAACATATCACCGACAAGCGTATAATGCATGCACGAGAACATCTGTCTTGTAACTAGATGTATACACCTGAAACTATCCAAATTTCTCCTAAAACGGGAGATGAAAGGTAGGAATAAAAGGCTATTTCAACAATTGACATAAAATTAGCAACACACTCACCTGGTTGAATCAGCACGTCTTTCATATAATCTTATACTCATTTTTACAGTTACAATTAATCGGGCAAGGTAAGGGGAGGTAAAAATTTGTTCAGAACAAAAGGAGGCACAACATAAAGCAACAGAAGAGAAAAAAACATATTCTGCTGAGCGACTTATCAGCCTGCATTACATGCCTTCTAACCCTCGGACTACCGCTCCCCGCGAGATTATATGAATTCGAATAAGTATAAAAGTTTGCTAAAGAGTTGCCAAAAACCCTTGCATATACCATTTCACCAAACATTCCAACTCCTGGATTGATCGTGGTTGTGGCGACGCCCGGATTATTCATTGGGCCTCGTAGGGGACTGTTTAGTTGTGAACCGTAAGGAGAACTCCGATAATGAAGTTGTGGAGTAACGTATGGACTGGTTGGGGTACCGGCTGATCGCGGTGTGTCAACCCCACAAGGACGAAAGGGTCTTCTCGGAATCACTATACCAATATGAGGAGCCTTGCCCTTCGAGGGTTTCGGGGGTTTTGTTGTTTGTCCCCGGCCATAGAGTGGGATTAGAGAGGACTCGGAGACCTCAGCTTTGCATACAGGGCACTGGTGCAGTTTCTGCTCATCTTGGTTTTCGGAAGACGGGCTCTGGAACTGAAGCCACTTGTATATGCAAGGCCAGCAGTAGAGGTGACCACAGAGGGTGACCACTGGATCCTGCACAGAGTCTAAGCAGATGCTGCAGTCGAAGGTGCCGCAGGATTTGTTGTCGGAGTCTGCTACTCCATCAGACGCCGTATTCCATTTTTCATAGGAACATTTATCTTGTCCAACGGAGTTATTTCGAGCCACAACCTCTGGAAAGTTCTGCTCTGTAGCCATCTTAACTGATCGAGGAAGTAGTATTTCGTAGCTGCGTAAATCTGCGACATGGAACAACAAGAACGTTAAAATCATGGTCTGAAAATCAGCTTCTAGCGAAAGTTCAACGATAACAACGGAAAAGGCTACAGAGAGATGCCTAAATCAACAAGACTTCAAAGGATCAATCATGGTAACAAGACAGCGTCAAATTTACGCGACTGAAAATCATTGGATCCAAATGTAAAAAGTTAAACACAAACAGTCCCACCAATATATAAATAATCAAATTAGTAAAGAAAAGTTAAACCAAACAGTATATGATAAGATCAGGTATTTGCCATGTTCATGGAACAGAAATGTTCAGAAACCAAATACTAAATAATTCGGTACCATTTTAGAACGATTCCCTCAAGAACGGATTTTGTACAAATCATTTAATCTTGAAAGTTAAAGATTAACAATTTCAACCTCAAAGTTTCAAGCTTAAATGAATTCATATAAAATCTGTTCTTAAGGGAGTCGTTCTAAAGTGAAGATATTTAGGTAGGCTTAAACAGATATCGGTTAGGTGAGAATTAGCAAATATTATATTATCAACCTCAAACAATATCTGCCCCTTAACTTGAAGTTGATGGAACCTAACACAAGCACATGTCTTCCATATCGCCACCAATAAACGCATCGAGTTGAAAATGTAGGCGAAAATCAACAGAGACGCCAGGAATACCTATGTTTTCAATGCTTTAGGTTGACTAGAAGAGATAATCCTGTTAGGGAAAACAGGTGAACTAAGCAGCCTAAAACATGATAGATCTAAGTAAGTGTTGTTTTATGCAATTTGTGTCACCTTTTTGTTGTTCTTCAACAGGGTATCAAGTTCCATGGTTTTATATAAAACCAACTACAAACCAAAGCAAAAAAAGAATAGGCAAGAACCCCTTTGATTCTTGAGCTGAATCGCTGGACGATGAATCAGCTTTTCAGCTCGAGAATCAGAAAACACGGCAACCCAAGAGGAAAAACCATTCAAAGAAACAAACTCATATACAAAACAAGGAACAGATAGAGGGAAGTTGAGTGCAAACCAGCAAGATTCGAGAGGTGGGTTTTGGTGGGTTTTCTTTTCTCTGTGAGCTTCGAAGCAGAGCGTCAATGGACAAACAGAGAGAGGTATGGAGATTGCAGAGGGAGGAGGATGAAGGGAATCGGAAAGGAAAGATGAGGAGGAAAGAGGGGGGGAAAGGGCATATATAGAGAGACAAAACATATTACGTCTTCCAGAAGCCATTATTTGATATTAAAAAATGATAGATCCATGAGCCACTTTGCTCTTCACGCACGGTTCAACTCCTTCCCATCTCACTCTCACACATACGTGGCACCCCATAAATTTTATTTTCTTTAAAATATTTTCCTTTTCCATTTTTAAAAATATAATTTTATAATTCATTCTTTCCACTGAAATTCTTTATTTATTTGATGTCATTGTTTTTTTTTTCTTCTCTTTCTCACACCTTGTTTTGTTAGATGGTGTGCGAATTTAGTCGAATGGGCCAAAGTATTATGACTCCCACTTTAACGCTCAAGATTGAATATTTTTTTATTGTTCTACGTAATTTTGAAGTTTAGAGTTAGTCCATTTCGTCACTATAGAAATATAAATAATATCGTTTTAAGAAACAAAATTTATCAAAAAAACTCATCAAAATTTAGGGCTATTCATTTAAAATTAAGAAAGTATTCTCATGGAATTTTATTTGCATATTTTTTTCTCTTTTTATTTTTATTTTGTTTCTTATCATCATGTACTGATTTGTCTACATCAATTGAGCAATTCCTCTGTTACTTCCAAAAAAAAAAAGGCAAAGTTGAGGTTGTGTCACGTGGAAGAACAGGAGAACAGAATATTCAAAGTGACAAAAGAAATTCTAGAGTCCAGACATTTTCAACTTTTAACTCGTCAGATGAATTTTCTTGGTTCCCGAATGTTCCTTGAAGAAATTTGCTTCACTTTATTTTCTTCAAGCCCTATTTTGTTTCTCATATTTTTTTTTTTTACTTTTTTTTTTTTTTTTGTAAATATGGTTAAACAATTTTCTTTTGTATGGATATCATACAAGCAAGAATGAAGAGTGAGAATTCAAGAAAAGGACTTTAAGATGATTAGAGACACAAATTACGTGTTGTATTATTTCACGCATTATAATAAGAATAGACGACATAATTAATATGTCTCACTTTTGAGGCATAATAAAATCAATACATATATTATGATTTGAGTGAAATAATAAAGTCACGTAACAGTGTTCTAGGCGCACTAAAAAATTGTTCAAAACTTCTGTAATTCAAATAAAATGTACTTATTAAAACCATCTTCCTTTGGACAAATTCAAGAGGATTTGGATCTATTGGCTTCCGGATCTATTGGCATTCCGATCGTTGTTTGAGAACATTGTGTTTACCATTGTCTAAAGTTGAATGGAACTTATGTCTTCAACCCCCAACTTGAAATATTCAATGATCTACTATTTAAAAATTCATTGTTTTGAGGGAAAAAAGTGATTTAGTTTAAGATCAATATATTCTTTAGTACTTAGGAATATATCAAGAGTTATTTTTGGTTTTAGGCTAGATCAATGAGTTTTTATTAATTAATTAGGTCTAGGTAAGGAAAAATGTCACATGATTTTTTTTAATCTTTTAGGGAACTAGTTGGTGGCTTTGCCACAACAATCCACCCTTTTGAGGGTTGGAAGACTCACAAAGGCATTTCAGCCTCCTTCTGGCCACCAACGTGTGGTTCACTAGTGCTAGAAATCGAACGTAGGACATGCCGTGTGAAATACGAGCTTGAAATTCATTCTCAACCACTGAGTCATCTCGTGAACTTCAAGTCAATATAAATGGTCAGAAAATGACTATCTTTTAGTCTTACTGATCTGTCTGTGACTTAAAATCAAACATTAAGGTCAATCAAGCACACTGAGCTTGTAGAAAAGACCTACTTTTTGGGCAAAATGAAAAATCTTTTAAGTTAAAAAAACAAGTTGATATTGATATTATTCTTTCTACAAGAACAAGATGTGATATTGATATTGATTTGCCAACTAAATTTGGTTCTGAGATCGAAATTGTAACTATTAGTTGGTGTTGTGATGAAAACCTGATAAAGCAAGTGAATCACGTAACCTGTTAATGTAAATTTGCGTCTACGACGTCCATATTCCAACCAGCTATTTTTAGCAATATTTTTTCAATCAAAATAGTTATGGAGATTTGTATAACTCATCACTTTAGTCTTTGAGATTTGAAATTAATGGAAGTGGTTCTTGAGTTTGTTCACCATCAATCATTTTAGTCATTCCTTAAAAAATTATGTTAAATAAAAACCAAATGACAAAAATACCTCAATTTAATAAACAATAGGCTAAAATAATTTGACAAAAATTAAGGGTATTTTTGTCATTTTATACTTATTTAATAGAGACTTTCAAGAAATGATCAAAACGATTAATGATGGACAAACTCAATGATCACTTATATTGATTTCAAATCTTAAAGACTAAAGTGAAGAATTATACAAATCTCAAGAACTATTTTGACTAAAAAGCCATTTAGCAACTTCACCCACCTCCAATTTTTCTGCCACTACTATACATGTTTTCTTTTGGTCGGTACCACTCATGTACTATATTATTTAATTCGTTTCGGCATTACTTATTCTTCACTCACAAGAATTCCATATCGTAAACCCTTTACCTTTGTAATTGCATTGGCGGAGCCACGTTCATGGCCACGGTGGCCTATAGCATACGGAGGATTTGAGTTCTTTAATATTAAAAATACTAATTAGTTAGGCTATTATATAATTTTTGGATAATGCTAATGAGATTAAATTTGGTAAACTTTATGGATGTTGATAATTGGATTATTACTTAGTGTTGACTAATATGCTTATTTCCTATTAATGACACATCACTTTTCAAATTTGGTTTAAATATTTGGTTTTCTAGTATTATCCATAATTTTATAAGTAATGGTAGGTTGGCTACTATATAATTTTTTGGTAATGCTAGGGAGACCAAATTTTGTAAACTTTGGGGATGTTGATGATTGGATTATTACTTAGTGTTGATTAGCGTGCTTATTTCCTATTGATGACACATCATTTGGTTTTCCTAGCATTATCCATAAGTTTGTGAGTAATGCTAGGTAGACTAAATTTGTAAATTAAATGATACGTCACCAATAAAAATAAGCATGTTAATCAACACTTAAGTAATAATTCAATCATCAACTTCCATGTCATTTAGTTTACAAAATTTAGTCTACACATTTAATTTCTCTAATATTACCCTTTAATTGTCCTAACTCGCCCAACTAATGAAAAGTCTGAATCCTATGTTTGCTTTTAGAGTATGTAAAACAATAAAAGTAGAGAATTGTTATTAGCACTCCAAAAATCTCATTCTACACACGAAATTTTTCATATTAGAAAAAAAAAATACACTTGTGAGGAGTGTAGAATGAGATTTTTGGAATGTCAATAACACTTCTCTAAAAGTATTTTAAATGCTAAAAAACTGATCATTTTAGCCAAAACTAATAAATTATAGTATTAAATTAAAAACATTAATATCATTACTGCCATACACCAGTAGACAGTAGCCTTTCACCACTCAAAGAATAAACTTCAATGTTGCCTGCGCCCCTTGCTGAAAATGTTAATTTAGATAAATTAACGAAGGCTATTAATTCTATTAAGGATCGAAGGGCACAACTTGATAGGTATTTCTTCTTTTTATTTGTTAAGTTGTTACAAATAAGATTGATGCTATATGTTTTCTTCCTATTACAAGTTGCAACTTTAAATGTTTGCTTTTGTTAAATCTAGTTGAAAATTAATTTATGCAGAGCTATAAATTTCTTATTTCAAATTATTACTTACTATTACATACTTTTGTAGACAACTAAAAAAGTTGAGGATTTGGTAATAATTTTAGGTTAACCCACCCACCCACTAAAAAATACCTAACTCTGCCAATGGTTGATAAACTAAGAGAATTTAGTCTTGTATGAATCTCCAATGGTAACACAAAATTGCTTCGAACGATTAGAGATTCATACATATTACCAACTACAAAAGTAAAAATCAAAGAAAATTGAATCCTGCAATTCGCATGAATAAATTATGGAATGTACTATCCACACACATTTTGATAATTTTTGTCCGTTAATCTTCTTCAATTCATCCGATCCGACGGCCGAAAATTCAAAGGGTGTGTGAGAAGTAAAATAGGATATGTGGATATCACACCCCTAAACTATATTTGTCACATCCCGGCCTGGACCCCCACCACATCTCGAGCTCGACTCCACCGTAGCACGATATTGTCCGCTTTGGGCCCCAACCATGCCCTCATGATTTTGTTTCTGGGAACACACCTTGATTTCGGTAGGGGTGTGTCAATATTACTCCTTAGAATAAGAATTAAATCGAACTTGACTTCTGTTAGTATCAATCAACGAGGAACAAGGAAAATTGCATATAAAAAATAATACGATACGTATACAAAGGAGTTTCTCGTATTTGTACAGTGGTATATCATCATTCCCCCTCTTATGACAAAACAAATAAATAAATAAAGAAATATTTTGGATGCGGTCTCTAACTATGAATATTCTTTAACTGAAACCTTGTTGGTTTTCAATTTTATCTATCCGCTCCACCACCGTAGCACTATATTGTCCGCTTTGGGCTTACCATTCCCTCACGGTTTTGTTTTTGGGAACCCACAAGCAACTTCCCAGTGGGTCACCCATCCTGGGAGTGCTCTCGCGCGCTACTCGCTTAACTTCGGAGTTCCTATGGAACCCGAAGCCAGTGAGCTCCCAAAAGGCCTCGTGCTAGGTAGGATGGGAATATACATTTAAGGATCAGTCCCCTGGGCGATGTGGGATGTCACAGAAGTCCTTAAAATAAATATGATAATTTATTTCTATGTATGTTACTATATTTTTTAAATTAAAAATTAAAATTTGTAGTTGTTTATATTAATGAGATTTTAAATAAAAACCCATAATTTGTGGGATTAAAAATTTTAGAATATAAATTATACTATTGTGTGTGTGTGTGTGTGTGTGTGTGTGTGTAAACATGGTACATTCATCAAAATTAACCAAAAACCAAAACACGGGTACATTATTCAAAACCACACACCAAAAAAAAAAAAAAAAAAAAAA